AAAAATATAAAACAACAAGTTGTTAAACAAATTACTTTAATACAATATACGAGTAGTTAAAATTGTGGCAAAACAACCAGATAATATTAGATATTATTTTGATCAAAATAATTTAGAGTGGAATTTTCGTATATGTAAAAATACAATATTAAGGGATGGGGTACCTAGGAAAATGTAAACTATATTTTTGAAACACGATATTTTGTATTTTTGTTATTAATTATCAATTTATTGAATGTGTTAGGATAGCATTTTTAAATTAAGTATWATAATTCTAATCGAATAGGAATGGACTTTAAGCTGATGCGCAAAGATAACGATCAAGACGTCAATACTTCTACTTATATAGTAACATTAGTAACTATAATTGAAAGAAAAATTTTTTTCTTAAACTAATTATTAAGTTAATTTATAATCATAACGATATCAAACTATTACATGTGTTGTAGGTGTGATTGGATTATTTATGTTAAATGTGGAGCATTTTTAACAAATAAATGTACAACTATACCGTTGTTTTAAACAGMAAAATTGGTTTCAAACTTTAAACAGATGTTAATCAATGTGTCAAGACATGGTGATTTTTATAATATACGCTTATCTATTCTATAATGATTAATGAGTAATACCAGATTTTACCCAAATATCTATATATTATATATAGTTGAAAATTAATTAAGTATATACCTAGGTAAATTTACATTGAACTATTGCTTTGTGGTTTTTTTTTATCAACTAACTTACCTAAATCTTTTTGTACTTACAGTTTATGGCCACMATTTTCGTAACAAATATTAATTTTACGCTATAGACTCTTACACCAAACAAAATTAAGAGCATAAAGATCATATTTTGTATCAACTATAAATTTGTAATGCATRCCTATGATGTATAACAAGTTAGATAAATAAAATCGTATGGATATTAGAAGATCTGTAATTTTTTTTTCACTTATTTAGTAATAATGATGATGTATTTATGACTTCGAATTAAAAGCGTTTACAAGTCTTAATCATAAACAGAAAATGTGTAAATGCGTTTTTATTAAAGATGGTGTTTACGATAAATTGACTATTCTTATTTATTTTTTCTATCTAGGTCATATGAACTATTTTTCTGTTTAACTGGAACTCGTTCAAATCATGGTCATGTTATACAGACGCTGATGTCACTGGCTGCAGTGCCCTTTAATAGCAACTAATATATATTATATATCACGAGTGTCGCCCTTGAACTTTAGGCGTAACCTAAACGGTATTAACGACTTTTGGTGCTTTGACAAGTTTAATAATATACGATGATGATTAATAATAAACACACTGCCGGAAAGCGGTGTAACGTTTGATGTATATACGACAGGTACATTAATCTTTATATAATAAGTGTTGTGATGTATTATAGCCATTTTAGGTACTCTATTTAGTACATACCTAACTATATAATTGTACCGCAAATATTGTAATAATATAACGTCATACAGTGTACAACCCAGAGAAACTTATTGTTATTATAATTATTATTGCTGTTATTTACTATTCCGTAGACGCCGCTGATGATGGCTCCGGTCTTGAGTGGGCAACCCAGACACGACGTGAGCAACGGGAACTTTCGACCCATCTCGAAGACTGCGTTTACCGCGAAAAMCTTAGGCAGAATAYGACGGCACTCGTTGCACGTCTATCAGAGGATTTTTCAGTCRACTTATTGTACAGCACCGGCACACGACCGCGGAGATAAAAATATAAAAATATTCGATTATTAGATTTAATAGGAAAATGTTTTAATAACGTAGAGTGTTTATGGCGTTATWATTATTATTATTTTAATATTTTTTTTCCACGACTTGTGAACACCGTGTGCACACGCGACAAGCTCGACGGCCGCTCGAAACACAACTGCACACTATAATATAATACTAGTGAGTAGGTATACGACACTACACCGCCGCCGCCGCCACCGCGAACCTTGTAGCGAGTGGCCCATAAATAGACTTGACCGTTGGCGAAAAAATAAAAACGCACTCGYCGCCCGGACCTACCTCTCCGGACATCGTGTACACACCACACAACACAATGTGATAAAATAATAATAATAACATCACCACGAGGYGACGATAATATAACGCTTATTAGCATATTATCGAAACCGGTATGTAGGTATATGTTATTACTTTTTAATGATGAAAAAAACGTTTTCACGATAGATTTTGAGCGTTTAATCAAAGYATTATAATCCTGGACGCCTTCGCCTATACCACCCTCTTCTCTCCRCCCCCTCTCACACTCCGGCCGAAAATTCTGACGAGACTAGACGGGAGAGTAACTCGTTTGAAGGTTGGTATACCAACAGCCGGCACAGGTAATGGTAAACCCAAGAAGTATACACAAGTACCCATCAGCGTGCGTTTTAACGCGATGCACAAAAGTGAAGTCACATTTCGTGTAATATGACAATCGATTTTCATAAAATCATAATAATATTATTTTGAATTTAAATTATTATTATTTTTAGCTATAATATATTTTTAGTACACAATAATTAATAATATGATTACGAACCCGCTCGGCACTGATTTCTAGAAACCGATACTTTCTTATACGTACCGATTGAGTTTTAAAATAGGTATAYCAGGATCGTGTTCACGGTAAAACCGGTGTAAAAGTGTCCCGGAAAAATCTGAACCAATGGCAAGTATGAGCGTGAAGTCGATATTTCCGATGTAGCATACTTATGCTATCTTTAGGAATTGACAGATTGCGCACAAAGCCACAAAATTACCTTTTTTTATAACAACCAATAATTTCGCTAAAAAAAAATTAAGTTCCATTGACAAGTTATTGAAGAACGGAAGGTCTGCATTTTCAGGGTTGATATAGACCAATTTTACTAAAAAATAGCAGTTGGTCTCGTTGGTATTTAAATTTATAATATATGAAAATAATATTTATTGTATTCTACAGTAYAATCGTAAATCAGAGCCCTTCAAATCGTCGGTATATAGGTGATGCATCGGTTCCAAGACAGTATAGTAACAAAGAAGGACACCGGAGAAGCGGTGGCTGTTTAATTCACGAGATAAATATGGTATTGTACTATTGTAGTATASTAGTATGTACATTGTATGCATTTAGCTAATGAATAAATTATCTTTAATGTATAAAAGTATAAATAATAAGTCGTACTAAATAATATGACTTAAAAAACAGACACAAAAGGGTCTGAGGGTACCAGATATTCAGCCGAATCGATTGTATAAGTTTTTAATTTTTTAGTTTATGACTTATGAGGTTAGGTATAGGTAATGTATATGATTATATAATGTTGATGGAACTAGATTGGATAAGAAAATATTTTTACTTAAAGGCAAGTGCAAATTTATACGTTTCTGTGCAGTTGGTATATATACTACAAAGTGTTAGAAGCACAATAATTGATACACTGCAGCATCTAAAATACGAATTTTGTTTTATTTGCGACTGGCCATGCCCTATTATATTGAATAGGTAATAGGTATAATATGTATGGTAGATATACAAGGTGCTATACATACAATATAGTATTTAGGTACATACCACCTCGCTGCAGTTATACGCCGACGTATGGTCATTGTACCTAACGATACTTATGCGTGGGCTGTGAAAACCTTGAGAGAAAAACACACACACAACGGTATAGGTACTCTCCTCCACCGACGTCACCACCACACCCGCCACCGCTATCAAAGCAGTCTTCGTAAACATCACGCGTGCGTACCTCCATATAATAATAATAWGTAATACGCGTCTAATATCATATTATTATTATTATTTCTTCTCCTCTCTCTCCGCATTGTCCGCGACTTTAGTTAAAAACTTGTTCTCATCCGACTGATATTTTTTTTTTACCTCGCTAGACGCATATAATATAATGTATCCTCATATCATATACAGCCTCCGTCGTAGTTATCCGTGCAGCCCCGCCACTGCTCAGACAACCGAGATGGTCCCCGCGGGCTTTTGAGATCGGCCGGCGGCGGCACACGAGATCAATGTCAAACGGCGCCGCCGCCAGCAGGATTAATGTTTTGTCGCACTACATATTATAGGTACGAGCGCTCACGACTCACGACTGCTGTTTACAATAGACGCAATAAAAATATTATTATTATATCGGAGGTGCTGTAGTAGCTTATTATAGGTACCTTCTTTTCTTTTCTTTTTTAATTCCTCCGGTTTGAATTAGTTTATAAAATTTAAATCATCCGGATTATCCATTTAACCGGAGATACTAATTATTTTGAGTCGTTTAAAAACAATATTATTCTAAAAAAAATATTATATTTGTACAATTTTTTTTATGACAATATCCATTTTAAACGCCTTACTCAAAAACAAAATATTTTTAGGCTACTTCGATACATATAAAAACTGAGTGTTGGACGTGTAACTTATGAGTTTTACGTGTTCAAGTAGTAGATGATCACTTGCAGTGGCACAATGTGGATCTAATTTGTAGATTTTAGGGGTCATAGGTATATATAAAAAATTAATTAACAAAAATAAGGTCTTCACTTTGAAATATGGGGACTCGGAGTGGCGCAGTGGTCACGCAGTTGACTACCACTCACACAGTCATCGGTTCGATTCATAGCAAAGTGCAAAAAAAATKTTTGAGGGTCTACGTGATTACCAAATCCCCTACTCTGTCGTCCGATTGCGTTATCCGGTTTCCAACTAGGTCCCACTCCACTGGTAGTGAAGACCGCACATGTCTCCTATTGGAGAATGAGGGTAGTATCATGCATATAGTGATATATACATAGTTAAATAGATCACATGATCTCCATACTACCCACTTGTGATGAGCATTGATGAACACCTATAGGTCGTTTCAATGAACAAATACAAAAAAAAAAACTTTGAAATATTTGAATTTTAAAAACATTTCACTAGAGATCACAACCCCCAAGCCCCCTCCAGGTTGTACCACTGGATGATCAGCGGAGTGGAGTGGTACTGCAGAGATACACCAAAAAATATATTGTTCTACTGTTCTGCTCGTTAAATCTTTAAGTACTTATAAAGAATAATAACTAATTGCCCAAAATTTGATTTTAATAGAATAAAATCTCCAAACAAATTAGTTCTGCTTTGTAATATGAAATTAAAAAGGCACGTATCATACAAAACAGCAAAAGCATTAAAAATAAAACGATAATAAATATTTATTAAAATATAAATTATTCCCAAACATTTGTTTTGTAACGACTTAAAACTATTAAAAAAAAATATTTTCAAAAAATTTATTTTTTCTGAAACAATGATTATTTTGTGTTATTTTGATCACTCCGTATAGTATATGCTAGGTGCAACACTATACTATAATTGTTGTGCCAAAATATCACTTTGGGGTATCATATTATTATAATATAATATTTATTATTTGTACAGGTATAGTGTCATAGTGTTGTTAGTTCAGTTAGTTGTATCGGGTTTTCGGAATGCAATTATGTTGCGCTTTCAGTATAGAACACCAACACCATACCATACTTTTTTGTCATGTGTATTATTCTCGTCGTATCGCGTGCTCGTCATTGCGGAAAATGATACTTCTCATAAAGGGAGTAGGAAAGAGTCGTTGGTACTGCTCGAATGTTGTGGTTCAGTTTTATAGAGACGTTTCGAATGAATCCGATATTGGTGGGAAAATTGTATTTTCAAGTCTAATGAATTAGTAAAGGTACAGGTTGGTATTTTAACATTTTTTTAAAAGACATCACAGCTAGTGTTATAGTGTTCAGTATCAGCACTAGAAAAGTAATTAGTTATTCATATATGACATTTCGGCTGTTTTATTTATAATTTTCTTATTTCATCTGAGAATATCCAAACATTTCACAGGTTTATAATAATTAATAATAATTAACAAAATTCCTGAAAATTCTTTGTTTATTGGCAATGCTTAGATCGTCGTAATAATATTTTATGTTTTTCTTTGGCACTCATTATTTCATCATTTTTGGAATCACTATATTTGATGTATTTATAATTCGTGCTATTTATCACAATTTTGAATGTTACGAGAATTTCAATGGTAATAAAAAATATTCGAGTTGTCACGATTTGATTATTTAATATTAAACAGTATTCGCTCCAAAAAAAATGTATTGGCACGATGACAAAAATCGAAAAACACTACTTTTTTATATTATGTTCTTTTTTTAAATTATTATTTAATATAGTCAAAATAATACAAAAGGTATTTATTTCTGCTTGAAATAAATGAATCCTTTAGTGTTGATTATAACTATAGGTATGTGAGAATCATAACACTTTTCAGATGTGACATTGACAGTTTACCACACCTTGATGACATTATTGGTATCATAAAAAATAAATAAAACTACTAACTAATTTTAAAACGGTTTTTTATTTTTGACATTATTGATTTTTTATTTTCGTCCACTACCTACTTTTCAAGGGTAGATTGAATTTTACTTAAATATGAAAAWTGCTGTAAAATTCCWTATAATATTTTTAATAAACTTTGTCAAGGCATACACTTATTAATATTATTATTATTGTTGTTGTTATTTCAACAACAGAAACATTGTAATTAAACACCGCCGTGGCGCAAAAACCGAATGAGCTYGGTCCTGCAACCCGACGCAACCGCTATGATAGGATTCGCGTTTATAATACTCATAAATACCGGAAAGATGGCTGATATGAAAACAACGCCGAATGCTATACAGACGATGAGATCCGGTTACTATTTTTTTATCCATATTTTACCATCCCGTTTGGCTATCGGACTTGAGTATAAAGACAAACGTCCGTTTCAACAGAACCATCACTATTTCTGCAAGCTGAATAAGAATAAAAACATTACCGTTAACAAACTATTATGAAAATTCAGACTTGATATAGTCAACGAATTCACA